GTGAAGATCCCTGAAGATTTCCGAAGAGTATTGAACTATTTTAGATCTTTTACAAAATTCCCTCTACACTTATATGAAGTTTTACGCAGCTCCTTAAAATGCTACGAAATTCGAAAAACTTCCAAAAAATTTGCTGTACTTCTTCGTTTCTCGTTGATTTTCCGCGAACATGAACGAAATTTCATGAATTTATACGTAATTTATACAACTATTCCAAGTCCATGAGGCTTAAAAAACTTGTAATCGTGTAGAGGTTCCCGATCAATAATGAGCTTCTCTAAAATAAAATAATGTCCCTTTAGCTTCTAAGAAGCTACTCAAATTTAATTTAATTCTCTACTTCTACGAAGTTTTCAGATTTTTTCCAAACTCCATTTTCTACGATTTTTGCACATAATTTGAAGTTCACAGAATTCCTACCAAGTTAACTTAATTTCTACGATCTTCTCTGAACTTCTATTCGAAGTTTTACTAAGTTCCCACAAGTTAAAGAAAAAAACTCTGGCCTCATGGAAAATTTGTAGAGCCTGAAGACGTCTTATTGCCATCGATGTGATATAATATAATTTCTCCAAATTGATTCTTCTAGTCCAGAACATAACAAAAGTAATAAACATAAAGGACTTTAAAAAAATCTTTGTTGGTGGTCCAATTTTATTAATCCCCGTTAAATACCGAATGCGTGATAATGTTTGCACCAGCAATGTCAAAATTTAAAAAATTCTCAAAAATTTCGTTTTCGAGTTTTTTTTTATTCAAAGGGGGGATGTTTCTCAGAGTCTTGAACAATGTTAATCATCGATCGAGTTTCCACTTGCTGCAATTACGGCCTCCACACGCTTCCGGAATGCACGACAAGTTCTTATAATGTAGTCTGGATCCATTTCTCTCCATGTACGGGTCAATGTTTGTCTGAGGCTTGCTGTACTCGGGTGGCGTTTAGAACAGGCCTTGGCCTTCATGACGTGCCATATTGAGTAATCCAGCGGATTAAGATCGGGGCTGGATGGCGCCCAGAACGGAAGATGTTCCTGCAACCACTTCTGAGTGCGGTTCGAGGTGTGGCACAGAGCCCCAGCTTGTTAAAATACAACATTTGGCTTCGGACCGTACTGTTCTTTGATCCACGGAAGAACATACTTACATAAAATCCCAATGTAGAAATCCGTGTTGCCCTTGTCGCCTTCTGGAATGAACACCGGGTCCATTTTTTGCCATCGGAAGCCACCAATCCAAACACCATAACGCTAGCAGGATGCTTGATCAGATACACGTTCTTGTGCTCGTCGCCCACGTCTTTTACCGGAAGAGAACTAATATACCGGTCGGTTCTGGAATTTGATATGGGATCGACGGTAAACATGCTGTCGTCGGTGAACAGGATTACCGGATATTTTCGCTTAAGGAAGTTCAAGATTGTCTTGCATCGTTCGACTCGTAGCTCCCGGATGCGGTTGGTAATCATGTAAGGTTTTTTTTTCGTGCCCTCGACTTCGCCCCGCAATCTTCCTTTACGATCTTCCGTGCCGTAAAGTCACTGATCCCGTGTTCCTTTGCCATTTTCCTTATTGAACGCACTGGATTCACCCGAATCTTTCTTTTGATAGCAGCGATAACCCTTGGAACCCGAGCTGACCTCGGACGACCTGTGGCCACCTTCACGGATAGTTGTCCTTTCTTTTCTCGGTCTAAAACCCTTTTGACGGTCCATCGGGACACTCCCACGGTGATTGAAATGTTTTTTTGCGACACTTGCGCGTGGGACAAATCACGAATACGCTGCCACTTCGTCATGGTGCAACTGTCAAACTAAGTAAATCATTTTCTTTTATACACTGCCTACTACGGTATGAGTTATAGGTTGCGTGCATGCAAAGAAAACCAAGGCATTGTATGCATAGGTGAAACGGGAACCTTATTTGTACGATGGTGCAAACATTATCACGCATACGGTAGTAGCATCGTACTTAAAAAGCTTGACAAAATACCGGTGAGTCAAAAAACACCAAAAATTCAGGAGGAGGCCTTAAATCCACTACATCCGTTCAAAAGCTTTCCCAGCTTGTCTTCGAATTTACCTGTTTCCTTTTGTTTGTGTCGCAAATCAAACCACGCCACAGTTGTAACTCCCCACATTCAGACCGTGTCATAATCGGAACACTACTGTATTGTCCGTATCATTATTTATTTGTGGCATTATTAAATCATGTGTAGAGATTTTCAGCGCATCCCCTAAATCTGGTTTAACCAAACAATAAACCGTCATTGGTTCCCATTGATTAACCAAAACCATACCTTCATCAGAAAAGTCACAGTTGTGCAACAGAGCTGCCACTTTTCGCATAACACCTATGGCAAGGCTATTGTAAAAAGGTATACAATGATTATATTTACATTTAACACACATCGTGTTGTCTCACCAACTGGTTCGTCGCATTCACATTCAACTGAAGCCACGCGTAACAAGATTATCGCCGTCCGAAACCGGACCATCGGAGACCACCTTTGAACGATGAGCAGACCCCGTCACTTGCCCGCAGTTCCACGCCACTTATCGGAAGATCAGACCATTATACTGCAATTAACAGGAATATTTTTTGGCCTTAAAACAAATTGGTAAAATTAAGTTTAAATATTAAAAGTTGCGCATAATTTGCTAGGTAATGCGATCTGGAAACAATTGGGAAAATGCGGGCAATCAAACGTCATTGGTTCCATCATTTTTTTCAGCAGATTAAGACAAAATTGCTCGGTAAAAAAGGGTGGAAAAGGCGATGAGATAATCTTGGCAGTGAAGCAGCGGCGAAAGTTGGCACGCTGAGTTGGTTTTCATCGGCGGCAAATTAGAAGGTTCAATCCTATCGGTACTCGGACGTGGAACGAGTTTGTTCATTTTTTAATCGGAAGAGCCGGAGGAGGGGCGGAAACCCATTTATGTTGATGTTGGTGCATCAATGAAGTTGAGTAGTTTTTTTAATTGAAATCATATCTATTTAAATTGTTCACATTATTCATAGCTGCCGGCCAGCTTCGATTGCAAACCGGCTTCAGAGCTTGCTGCGGTGGTTGATAATAATGATAATTTTTGTGCCTGTTCATATAAATGTTGCGAAAATCGCTGTCAGTTACGTGCCTTTTCGAAACTGGAATTCAAAATGTATTTTAATAAACTTAAATGATCAATTTATCGTTTGGTTTCGAAACTTATGTAAATTCGCCAGATTTGATTACAATTGAAATCTCTCATGTTCATAGCAACACCAAGAAGATCGAAGGGGCTCACAGCAGCATTGAAATATGAAAATAGTTTACCAATGTGCCGCTCCCTTCGAGTTCCTCTACTTGGAACATGACTTCGGTCCTCCAATCCCTTTGTATGCTGCAGGATCGCGGTCGGTGTAGTTTTAATGCATCCATATGTCAAATTAGTACTCCCCGTATACAAAAGCGTGGTTGCAGCAGTAGTGTGTCAGCAGCTGACTGCACAGTTGAATGCGCATTCGGTGCAGTGTTGTGAAGGCTCTTTCTTTGGATTCAATCGTTAGCCGAGCGAAAGAAAAATCGCCGCCGGGGTGCCCGTAAATGTGACGATAATTGCGTAATCGCCATAGCTAAAATTCTATTACTTGCCGAATAAAATGGTGACATTGGATGCGATGCGGAATTTGCAATGGTTGGTGTGAAACAATGCTCGTTTGGCACAGTAAATTGGTAAACTTTTGGCAATTTTCACGCTGAAACGCCTCTTCTGCACTGAGAAGATCGAAGCGGCAGGGGTGCTTGTCTGACTAGATCGTAAAGATCGTTAATGCATACCAATACGGTGCACACGTTGCGATCGGACAATTGCATAATTTGCCATTTTATACACTTTTTCGCCACACAGAGTAAGCCACAGTAGCCAAACAAGCTACGGGTAGGCTTGCATTGTGGGAGTATGTACTCTCACGTAGAGCATAGGTAGGTTTTAGGGTTATCTAGATCTTCAACAAAAGTAAGAGAGATAATCTTCGCAACAAAATTAGTCCAACTACCGCCACCGTAAACCGAGGTCCGACGGAAATCCGTCACGACCTAGATTCAATCCACATTCGCGTCAGTTGGTAATGACATTCTTTTATTACTCACTGTTGACGGCCAGTTGTATAACAATCCATACTATAACTTGGTCTACACGGGGCCTGGAACGAACCGTGCAAAATTTTTAATGTATAATAAAAGCAAACGATCCGCCAGAAATCATCCATGTTGGCCAAGTTTACGATACCTGTCATGTAGTCAACTGTGGTGTAACGTGCCGTGACGAGGTAGGTAGGTAGTTGATGTTGATTTTCATAATTGCTGACAATCATCAATCTCTTGTGACGCCGGGGACTGCAAGGGGCAAAAGAGACGAACATGTTAAATTAAATTAGTTGAAATCGATTACATTGCGTCATAATCGTGAGTTTTACATGATCGAAGGAGGAGAAGTATTGAGAGACAGTTTATGCATTGCCATTGTTTTGCGTTGGTGAAACTGTTGACCTTCGCATCACTCAGAACGAGATCAATGTCCATAGATTGCGAATGAGACCGTTACTCTGATCTTCACGACAATCAACAGTTCGTTCACTTTTGAAACCTTGTGCTCACGCATACCACAGTTGATCATGTACGGTAATGCTTTAGCTAAATTCTAACTGCGACAAAAGATACTCAGTGCAGTCGCAGAAACATGTTAATCAGCTGATCGCATTCATAATTCATTCGGATGTGACAGCTCAATAGCAATGAGCATATTTCCATACCGGTGCTTCCCTTAAGTTGTAACCTTGATCGTGATTTTATTTGAGCTTCGCTTCGTATAAGTTTCACTGTATGCCTGCTGCAAACGCAGCCTACTGCCTAGGTTAATTAACCAGCATTACGATTATGATGCTTTCTCACCGTTCATCAACAAATGAAACGTCTCTGAAACTATTTAATGACCATCACCTTCCTCATCTCCTATTCCGCAGTTCGCAGTCTGCTTCGCTATCGCCCTATCGCTGGCCCTCGCCACGGCGCAGCGCTTTGGAAGTCCGCTGCCGGCGTTCAGCCTCAGCTCGCTGACCGGAGATTTTGGGGGACCGACCGCTTTCGGTGGGCAGGAATTTAGCTCCGGCAGCCTAACCGCCGCCGGTCGTGATCCACGACAGAACCGAGGTAAGTACTTATACCGAACCAATTCGAGCTGAGAGTGAAAGGGGGTTTCCGAGAATGGAACCGCGGCTGAACCGTTTGCCGCCGGAACAATGGATGCTACCGCAGTAAGTAACAGCAGCATCATATGTGCAAAGCTTCTGACTTTGCTTGTACGGCGAACTTTTTAGTTGTGGATTTCAGCAGTAGAATTGAAATGTAGGTAAATTATTCATGAGCTCATGGAGTGCACGTTGTACGGTTTTAGAACCGGCAGTCAGCTGTGCGCGTGTTTTACCGTCTAGAAAATGAGTCAGACGTGAAGCCAAAGGTGCATATTAATGACCTTAGGCACACCACAGCTCGCGCGCGATCGGATTGATGGGGAATTAATCCCTTCGAGATGCGGTAGAGATTGCAAATCGTGCAAAATGAGTTTTACATTAACTCAATACAGAGCTGGAAAAAAGGCCTAACAGCTTCTGTGAACAATGACTTCTCTCGATGGATTCTAGGGATTCAAGACACGCCCACAATAATCAACAGTACATAGGGAAGTATTCCCCTACCCGATGGTGATGTTGGTTTACGTGGGCGAGTCTTAAATTGCTAGGAATCATCGTGAGAAGTCATAGTTTACAAAAACTATAAGGCCCTTTTTCTAGCTCTGAATTGAACCAGAGAATTTATCGCAGATGCTGAAGTTCGATCCGAATTCGACCTCGAACTTCTGTATGTTAATTTCATTGTGTGCTGCATTGAACTGTAGATAATGTAGAAGTCTACAGATCTAATTGAATAGGTCAAAAGTAACACGGTAGAAGAGTTACATGTTTTTCCTTCTTTGGGTTTATTACGTCCCTACTGCAACTTTACGCCGGCCCTCAACTTGGTGTTCTTTAAGCACTTCCACAGTTGTTAATGGAGAGCTTTCGAAGCCAATACCATGTTTAAAGGATGTCCACTAGACTGATGCAAAATTTGAAATTTTCTCTCCACAGTGCTCAAACGGTTCCAAATTGGGCCCTGATTAGCCTCCCAAAATTTGAACTCATTTAGTGAGAAACTGACTTGGCACAAACCGTTTGAAGTTTATTTGGGCATTACTATGGAGAAACCATAATTTTAGTTCATATCTATCTCAAAATTCACCAGTTCTTTCTACTTTATAAAATGATAACTGAGCTTGTTGAAAATTTTCTCAGCTACAACTTTGTTGAAGACCACTTTTCTATCAAATGTAAGGAAAAAAATTATTAATGATTTTAGTCACTGATGTCTTATGATTATGCTCAATCAACTGTTCAGCAGGCAACATTGGTGTTTATGGCGCGTAGAATAGAGGACAAATATCATGGCTACTATGTCACACTGCAGAATACAGTGTTGCCCACAATACAGTTGCTTAATCTCTCCGGAAGATTATCAATCTCTTAAACAATTAATAACTATTTAATTTGACGTTTGGATGAAAAACGATGTTCTGCAAAGTTGTAGCTGATAAAAATTCCCATAAGAATAGCAATACAATTTGTTAACAGTACAATATGTAAAAGGCTAGAAGACAATGAACAAAAAACTTTGTTTCCCCATAGTAATTTCCATATAAACTTAAAATGTCAGTTTCTTATCAAATGAGTTTAAACTTTCAAAGGCTAATCAGGACCCGACTTGAAACCGTTTGAACACAGTGGAGCGAAAATTTCAAATTTTGCATCAATCTAGTGTCCATAGTTAAATTGCATCACTTAGAAATACTCACCAAAAACAAGTCTCTCAACCGATTGTCATGAAATTTTCTGGGAATGTTATATAAGCTTGGTTTTCGTATTTTTATTTCACTGTATTTCTTCACCAAATCCAAATGCCCGAACTTTCTTCTAAATTATACCCATACCGTTTTGTACAATGGTTGAATCGACATTTTTTTCTGTTGTCAACCTTGATTTCAATATTTCCTGCTACGTAGTGACAACTTTCGGATGCTTACGGAGTTCGTGCTTCATTATACCCCAGAGATCATTCGGCACGAAATTGACCCAATTTGTCTTGTACCACTCCAGAACGCCCTTGAAGTAGTGACAAGAGGCTAGATCACGCCAAAAAATTGTAGGAACGTTGTGTGATTTGAGAAACTTAAGCAGTCGTTTTTTCAGACATTCATTCATGTAGACTTGGCCATTTACGGTTGTAGTTGTTACGAAAGGCTTGCTCCGTTTTCCGCACGAGCAAATCGCCTGCCAAATCATGAATTTCTTGGGGAACTTCGGCACTTGCTGTTTCCTGAGGGACATTGAAGTCCGCTTTTACGTATGTCTGTTTCATCGTTGTATCATCAGTGTGGTTTTGTCAACATTTGTCAAGTGGACCCTACACGACTGTTTGTATTGACAATAATCGTATTGTCAAAACATTCTACATGGCCGTCAATACATCGGTATTGACAATATTTCTGTACTCACATCATCATCATACTTGTAAGTATTGATAATATTTCTTACCGTGTGGGGTTCGCTTCAGGTGCAGTTTTTTTTTTCGCGGCATCCCGAACGGAATAGTTGGGTTCACGTTGGGTTCACGCTTCGACAGTTAAACCATGTTAAACATCCTCCGAAAAGTTTTATAACACGCGAAATAGTAGATTGTTGGTTTCCTAGTTGGCTAGATGCGAAAGATGTGGGTTGTTGGGGTTAGGATTGGGCGATCTTCAGAGAAAGATCGATCTTGATGGATCGATCTTATATTTGGCTCTAGAGTCGATCCACTGATTAAATCGGTACCAAAGAACCGATCTTTGGTAGATCAATCTTTTGATTTTTTTTTAATACGCTTGTTTACATTGGTACCCGTTGGTACGTTGAAAAATATTTCCTTTATAATATTCAATTAAATCACCGGCTAGAAATTATTCTTTGAATAAAATACGCGCAGAGCAAAGAGCAAACGAAAACAGAGGGAATGAACGTCACTCTTGCTCACTGCCAATGTGTGTTTCAATACAGTTCGGTAATAATTGTTTTCCTTTTTTGCGTAGTTTTGAATCATTAATGATTAATCAATCAAAATGTATTATTCTGTTTCTCCGTGTAGACAAAATGTGTTGGCGAGGAGCAATGATCACAGGAGGGAGGTAGCACAAACTAAAGAGACCGCATTGGGTAAAGAGGTGATATTTTATTCATTTGACAGGCCTTCTGCCCGATTGCAATAACTTTTCCTATGACTTTGACAGATAATCGACCAAACCTTTCAAATGTTGCTGTATTCGTGTAAATACACTTGAAAAATTCAACACTCTTTTTTTTCGAAGATCGAAAAGATCTAAACAAAAAAATCGATTTTTTCGATCTTTTCGTCGACAAAGAATCGATCCGAAAAATCGGAAATCGGGATAAAATGATCGATCTTCCAAAGATCGGTCCAAAATCGCGCAATCCAATATCGAAATCAGCATTTTGTTTTCATTCATTCTCTGCTGGATGCTTATTGAGAAATCCAACTTAAACTCATGCGCGCCTGGTGGCAGGAATAAGCACTAACCGACGATGATAAGTCTGTGACAGCCCTTGAAAATTTCATTGATTGTTTGCAAAATTATTTAATTTCAATGTAATTTCATGAAAATTTCTTGTCAGCATGGATGAATCTTGTACAAAATGCATAAAACTATTTTGTAATGCATTGTTCTTAAATAAAAAGCTACTTCAAGACTTATAAATCACTGAAAACATGTTAAGGTTTGATGATGATGATGATGATGATGGTCCCACCTCTTACCCCTACAAAGGTTTGAGCTGGACGAGTTATCTTTAAGATAATTAAATATAAACATTTTAACCAGGTTTGCAAACAAAATCGAGCTGGTTACAATTACAGATATAAATGTCCTGTTAAATATGCTATAGGCATCAACCAAAAACATTCAAAGGTGTAACTAGTTATCAAAAGTCCAAGTATAGTCCTCGACAATACTTCCATTTACACGTGACCTGGGATTTACACGTTTAAGCTTCCGCAGTGCCAGGACTATATCCAAGGAAACGACTTCCAGCCAACCCTTTACTAATTCAAGGCTTTTGCCACAATTTCCACGTATTAGTCATTTATACCTGTATTCCGCGCGCGAGGCTCAAACCATCGTAGACTACTCAAAGCTATTTTTACTATTACTACTACAAAATCAAAAAACTAAAAATCCATCATCACCATCGAGGCAAACAATGTAGTTTTTTGTATATGCTACACCAATTACTAAAATGTCTATATGACAGTCTCCATACAAAATAATCCGTTAGAGATAACTTTGTCAAGATACATGATTTATCCATTCATAAAAATTTAACTGCTCAATAAACAGCTTTTACATGTGAAATGCAGCGTCTCTTGAATTCTGTAAGTGTAGTTGCACGCTTGATGTGTCTAGGCATCGAATTGAAAACATTTATACCTTTGAAAAATAATGAATTTTGTGAAGCATTATTCAAAAGATGTGGTGTTCTTACTTCATCCGCGTTTCTAGTGTTATATCTATGAAAATCACTTCCTCTTTCAATCCGATCACACAAATATCGAGGCAGCAAACCGTTAACTACTTTAAAAATGAACACCATAGTCAAAAACACAATTCTTTGCTTCACTGACAGCCATTGCAAAGCGTCCAGCATAAAAGTTGAGGAAGTGAATCTATTACATCTTAAAATCAAACGCATTACTTTATTCTGCAAACGCTGTAATCTCGATATTTGTGTTTCATTGGCCAAAAATAAAATGGAAGGGCAAAAGTCTAGATGAGGGGAGATGATTGATTTGTATAACTGTATTTTACTACCAATAGTTAAATCGTTTTTCAAGCGACATAGGATTCCATACTTCTTGGCAATTTTCTTGATGACATTGTCAATATGAGAATTGAACTTGAGTTTGTCATCAATAATCACGCCAAGATATTTAATTTCCTGAACGCGATCAAGTGTCTCATCATCAATAACAACACAGACATCATCATCTACACGATTCCGCGAAAT